TTTCTTTAATATGACAACTACTTTTTAAATATACTCCAAAAAGGAGAAACGAAGAAAAATGTTTTAAGGCATTCTATTTTTGATTGCACAAAAGCATGTTATAGTTTAACAATTAAATACGGAATATGAAATAGGAAGTAGCTTCTTTCTTTCCTTCAAACTTTCCTCAAATTATATTTAGTTATGATATTATATTTTTCAATATATATTTACAGTACTGATTATTGGCTCAACTATCGATTACTTCATTTTATTCTACTAGTTTTTCCGGAAGAACTTGACGATAGGGAAAACAGTGGTGGTTTTGTAGCAGTCATTATATATATAAATTATATAGTAAAAATAATATTTTCTTAATATTCGTTATATATACCTATATAACGAAATTCGGCGAATCTTTCCCAAAGAAGCATTAAACTAAGCAGGAAAAGAGCATAAAGCAAAATTATCCCATGATATAGGATAGAATGGACAGACTAAACATATTGAAATACTGAATGAGTTTCCATATGAATTATTAGCACGAGTCCAACTAAGCAAGAAAATTAAATGTGTTTTTATTTTAATCAATCATATTAAAAATGTTTAAAAATATTATGAAAAAGCGTGTTTATAACTCTTAAATCGCTTAATCTATAAACCAGTAACGAAGAGATTAAATTTGAAATCTTACACTTTGCCAAATGGCAATACGACAAGCAGAAGCAGTTCTATTGATGACTCTACTGAAGAGCGGGAAATAATGTTTTTAATTCCAGCAGTGACAGCAGACTGCTTTTAAATAGTTGAGTCTGTTAATCAAAAAATTCTTAATTTCACACAAAATATTAAAAAAATTAATTCGTCATTCGGCTTTGAGATGCTCATGTTCCAGTGGAGGGTTAAGTATAAAATTTCATGGCTCTGCCGGGCTTTCTCCACTATTAAGCGTACCACTAAAGGGTAAGACTAATACAAAATTTCCCTAAATTCTGAATTAAATTAAAATCGATATTGCTTTAACAAAATACTTATTTAATTATCAAGATACTATTCATTACTATTTACAGTCTGTCTACATAATGGATCGTCTTCCAGTTTCAAGCAAAAAAACAATTTTCGGCTGAAGGATTCTGAGGTATATTTCTCATTCAATTAATTCTGTTCTCAGTTCGTGGCAAGGCAAAAATACATAAAACCTCAAAATATCTTCATTAAAAATTGAAAAATATGGAAAAAATAAAACACAAAATAGAGTTAAAACAATCAAAAAACAATTTTTACGATTAAAATTAGAATTTCTAGGCAAAATCAAGCAATTCGGCCATCATGCAACAAAGCAGATTTTTCGGTGCTCAAAAAAAGAAAATTTTGGTCCCACTCGGCGAAAACACACTTAAGGTGCAGAAACTGAATTCACTATTCTGCCAAGTTTCAAATGTAAACAAATATGGCTGCTATAATAAAAACAAAATTATGATTAGACGCACTTAAACAACTTTTAAATTCTTGATAATTCTACAACTATTGCATGTAAAAATTAGATTAACTTAAAGTATAGAAAATCTTAATCGGAAGATAAGAACAACATAATTGAATCATTTTTAAAGCCAAAAATACACAATTTACCAACATAAAAGGATAAAAACACTGAGCTCACCAAGCCGAGTAAGAGTGGGTATATACGTATATCTATCTATCTATATATATACACTTTCGGTGCGGCCGATTGCAACCAAAAAGGGAGGTGCACAACTACATGTTGTAGAAGTCCTATAACAAAACTGCAACATTCTGAGACTACTCGTTTTTAAGTTATACGAGATACATACACGTCATCAGAGCTGCGCAGGCCATAAGAATGATCTGACGCGATGCAATTTTTAAAACAGAGAGGGAGAATTAATGTTTTACCGTTAGTTTAAATTATAATTTTGATTTACATATTTTTATCTTACATATATATAATATATATGACCTTCCACTTCATAATCTATATATGATGATCATAATAAGCATACCTTCCTTTGTATATACCTTATACATATCCTTATACATATGATTATATTAACTATATACTTGTCTACAGATAATTACTGTCTATTTTTATACACGTTCAGCACCTCACTAAAAACGAGCAAAGCGTGAATTATTTCTATATTATGATATAATAATAAAAAGAACGAATGCATGTGAACAATCAATAAGGACGACCCCATATATCAGTCTTTTAGACAATGTACCTTACGACAAAAAAGTGTATATAGAAGTAATAGGTGATAATTTTAAACATATAATCACCATTTCTTTGTTATTTGAAGTTACTGCAGTTTTATCTCTGATTATGCAACCTAATGTATTGAATTATCTTCTTTATATCTAATATGGATCGCGTTTATCATGTTTCCAAAATATCAATGCAACACAGAATAGATACTCTTTTTAAAAAATAATTTTTTTTTACTATTTTACTTGCGAAACAGTAACTTTTAAGTTTTCGAGAATCTTTTCTCGCTTTTCTAACATATCTCCGACAACAGTTATTAAAAAAAAAGTGCAAAATAACCGTAATTCCTTTATAAACGAAACTATTATTTCACAGTAAAGTGGTTTTTCGTCCGATATGGAACATTATATACTTTGTTTAAAATAAAATTTAGCAATGCTATTGAATTCTTGCGTTGAAATGGATGACCCCCTAAAAAGTTCTAGGCAATTTACTAGTAATTCAATATTTTAATGAAGTTACCCTTTATGGTCCATCAAAAACGTGAAGCTTTTAGAGATAGCAGTAGGAATGAATATTGTTACAAATTTTGTATACATGTACATAATTTTAGTGAAATTATATGCAAATTGTAATAGTTCTTGTGCAATGTCACATAAAAGGCCTTAGGATACAAAACATTGCTAGAAACATAAGGATACAGGGGAAAACCCATTTAACATTGAGATAAATGGTTATTAGCCAAACTGGCGAGATAAGGCCAAGCTGGCGATGCTTTTAACGACTAATTTTTTACGCCAAATTTGGTGAGAAGTCGCCGGCGTGGCCACACTTTGATCCCTGTGTAATAGGTAACTGGTCCAATTCCTATGTAACTATAACTTTGTATGCTTTCTAGCAATTTCGAGAAACCGAAGGCACTGGAAATCTTTCGGCGGATGGGGGAAATGACCGCAGATAGCATAAATTCAATTCTGTGTTTAAAGCACTGAGAGATCACTGTACGAGTTTTCGCAATCTAAGGTTATTGGGGGAGGGGGTGCGCGCGCGCGCGTGTGTGTGCTTTGGGTTCAACGTTCGTAAGGGTATTTTTGTGTGAAAAGAACTGTAAAGTATTTTTGAAAAAAAAAAAAAAAAAAAATTCATCAAGCTATCATCGGTTCTGCGTGCATTCAATTCCTTATGAACTTGTATGCACGTAACAATATTTTGAACTTGACATCCTTTATTGTCAAAATTCGGAGTGTCTTTCATCATTCCATTTGGATCTTTTAACGAAATTCAGAGTAACTCAATGTATGAGTTCAGTAGTTTAAATTTGTGAGCCTGTGATTTAGAGTTTGCTATCGTCTGTGTTCAAAAACGTGAGCGAAAATAAAACGAGAGGCAACTGGAGATCTGCAGTGATGTTCAAAATCAGAGAGATTCATCATAAAAACTGATTCAAAATTCATGGAAATAATTATTTTGGCCTTCTATGCTGATACAGAAGTTATGAACATCAGAAAACTGAGATTTCTGTGCTTCCAGAATGATTTTTTTTTTTTTTTTTTTTTTTTTTTTTTTTTTTTTAGAAAACCATTGTAGCGATATATAAGATGAAATTTTCCGATATATAATATATTGATGCAGTCTTGGATCATCATCTGCTCTCCAATAAAGTTTCAAATTTTTTAAGATGTATGGGATTTCAGACACTTTTAGATAGTGCATCAGAGCTGGAAATCATACATTTAATAATAATAATAGTAATATGTGCATGGACTGTAGAACACACTGAAAAGACAAATTATTACACACATCTACGATGAGACCAAACAAATGAATGCGATAGGGACCAATGACTTGTAAGCTGTTGCCTGTCTTCGATGCAATAGAATGTAAAAACTAGTCTTGATAATCATGTCAAAAATTGTTATCATGGGAAAAGGAACTGATCAAAGCGAGTTCGATATCGCGGATTCTGTCGGCGCTCACACGACCGGATGTTCGATATCAGCATAAGCTGAAGTGGTGGGTATATCACGCAGTACTTTGGTACGAGTGTGCCAGCAGCACCTCAAAAGCGGAATAAAAAAACTGATGTGCATCATGCAAAATATGGTCGCAAACCAACCACTGGTGCTTGGAGAGGCAGCCGAACTGTATCCACAGCAAGAATCGCAAAGTTTTAGATTACGACGGCTTTTAGGGTAAGTACTTCATCCAGCGTCAGCACAAGGCCTATTCATGGGCAGCCAAGGGACATTTTGCGTTCTATTGCAAACGGAAAAACATCTGTTCCTGAGGCTGTTGTTTGAAAATCGCGCCATCACTGTGCAGAGACATTAAGTATGTTTTTGGAAGCCACGAGATGAAAAATTAGCAACACCTTCTCCGGGAATCGAACCGCGGACCTCTGGAATACCGGCCCAGCGAGCAGAACCACTACACCACGAAGGCAAGGTAAAAAGGCGGAAGAAATACCTTATAACTGAACTATAAAACCTGGAAATGTGTCATCTCGTTCGACGATTCGAGAATTCAGCTGCTCCAGGCGGATGGCAGTGTTAAGGATGTAAAGGCGACAAAATTACTTTGCAAATATAACAGGAAAAAAAACCTCCAACACATAAATACGTCCACTCTTGATTGAATGTAAGGTTGATATCTTCTCTCCATTGTATCAATTAAATTATCTGCACACTTCAGCAAACAATAAAGTCGAAGCACACTTCATTTCCCACTACAGATTATTCAAAGCAATTGGAGGGAGGGATAACGGCACCTATCTGTCTCCAAGGTAGTCTCATACAAGTTCAACTAAAATGAAGTCTGGTAATTGAGCTATCAACTTCATACATTGAAATCTGTAATCTTCAATGAATCGGTTGACTCCATCTGATCTATACGTCCTGACATCACTATCGACTAAAATAAGTGAATCCCTTAATAGATTCACAGTAAGTTGTCTGAAGGACATAATTATTCAGACATGCATGAAACAAGAATCTGTAGATCAAAGTATAATAAATGAAAAATCTTTCTAGCTATCTAACTACCTAAATCCTACTCTTACCGCTCACTGTCGCTTTAAAGCTAAGAGGCGAATTATTGCCTCCATCTTTAACTGTGGAAGCACAAATACATCAGAAAGTAAAACTTTATTTCGCAAGTTATGAGTATCAAATTAAAATATTACGAAAAGGTAAGCCTGCTTCACTTTGCAGAAATTACCTGGGCATACAATTTACCTGGTACAATAAGTGTTTGACGCCTCAACGGACCTTTAAGGTCACAACACTCTGGGTCGGACAACCTAAAAAACAAAAATCAAATTCATGTACCGCTAGGACTAAATTCCGGTAATTTATTTCATTAAAGCAGCGGTTTTTCTCGGTGCAAGGGAAGGACGGTAGCAGTTCACATTGCCAAACGTCTGTCTACTAAGTTTTATTCTTAAGAGACACAGCCAAACACCCTACTGTTTGACGAATATGATAATTTCAGCTTCTCTCTTTTATTGCAGAGCTTTTAATTTTATTGAACACAATTAAAAACATATTTACATTTCATGTATCAGACCTAATGGATTATTTTTTTTTCATTTCTTACCACATTTATCTAGAACTATGTAATCTAAAAACTTTCTTATACATTTTATTTAATAATATCTAACGCACAAAATGTAAAAAAAAAATAAAATAAATAAATAAATAAAGATAAAAAACCGCTTTTGAGCGTAAGAAAATTATATTTCTTTTAATTGTTTAATTCTTTCTTTTAAGTGTAATGTTCTTCAATAAAACACTACACTATAAACATAACAACAACGTAATCTGAAAGAAAAATAATGAAAAACATAGCTCCCAATACATGTATTGAGTCTTTAAAAAAGTAGGAGAAAGACATCGTTGAATATTTTTATTGTTAGAATTTTTCAGAAAAATTGAATACAAACTATTAAAATTCATCACTCAAATACCAAGATATAAGTTGGTTGATTAACTTATCATTAACTGATGCGAGTTTTTCGGAACGTGCAAAAGTTCTACTTGCTTTTGAAAAGTCGCTAGAGAAAGATGTTCCAACGTAAAGTTGGAGCACCAAGAGCCGGAATCGTCGGAAGACCATTACAACAGCAACAGGCAGTGACTGTGGACTACACTGTGATGACTGTGACTGTGGACCATTACAACAGCAACAGGCAGTGTCTCGTAACTGGAAAAAGTAGTATACCGATTAAATTGAGACCAATAAAGAACACATCTGACAATGAATTTGATAAGGGCAGACTGCGACCCTGGCCTGCTGCAGTTCTAGGTAAGTCTTAAATGATGATGCAATCAACGAAAGCGCATGTCGTCGCTGGTTGCCAGAATTCAGGGACGGTGACAGAAGCTGCCAATATCAGCCACGGTCTGAGCGTCCATCGGCGTTTCACGAAGATAATCTGGACTATGGAAGATTTAAAATTGATAGTGGCGCTCGAAGAGAGCCCCCTCATAGCCATAAGGCAGGTTTCGCCTGCTAGGTGGGCTGGGGACCAGTGCTTAGAACTAACTAACTACTAGTATGGGAACCTTTCTTACTTGCTCAGAACGCTTTTTGACGGTAGCAAGGAAAGCTGCCGATAGAATTTGCATACCGATAGCATTATTTTGACATACAAAATTGTTTATATGAATGTTAGTAGAGTATAATTTAAGTATTGTACATATTGTAGTATATAAATTCATACGTAGGAAAGTAGTATTATAAATTTTTTTTGGAAGACGCTACGTTTGAATTCCGAATTTACTAATTCATTAGGGACAACGTCTTAACAGACATTTCAAATCCAACCGTAGACAAATTTTCGATACAAAAACAACCACTTCTTGCCCTGGATTATCACAGAAGAGCAGTGGATTATGTAATGAAACATGAAGCGTTGTAGGACTGCTATCACATTTCTGAATTACCTCTACCGATGTCAAAATAAAAACTTCATCCTAAGATGTTCAGTGTGTGGATGTGTAAGAAATAATTCATTTGGAGGTCCTGGAACATAAAGAGGCCATTAATGCAACCTTCTACTGTCAACGACTAAACATACTGCAAGAGTCATTGCGCTCGAAGTGGCTAGGCTTTGTCAGTTGCCAAAGGGTTATCATCTAGCCTGATAAGGTTAAGCCACATACTGTGACGAAGACATTTCAGAAATTAGTAGACTTCGGTTGGGAAATTTTACACCAACCGCCCTATTCTCTTGACTTGATCCCTATACACTTCCACCTTTTTGGCGCTTCGCAAAACTCCTTCACTAAGATGACTTTTCATGATATGGAGGTTGTGAAAATTGCCTTATGTGAGTTCTTCAGCTTCAAACCTAAGAATTTTTATCGGCATGGAATTAAATCTTCTTCCAAAAAGATGACAAGAGGTCATTGATCATGATTGTGATTATGCACAGACATAGGTGAGTTCCAGTTTGTGTTGTTTGCACTTCCACATACACACCAAAAACAAGCAAAACTTTTGCACATACCCAGTGCATCTCCCTTAGGAAGTATATCATCGTAGAAATAGTTCTAAAATAATTAACTTGCATTCACGCTATACATGAGAAACCACACACGGGAAAAAGCTGTGCAATTAACCAGGTACCAAACGAAATTATTATTAGTATAAACGAACACTTATTATTCATGAAAATGAACCCATATTATGAGTATTAATTTCCTTACACACTTAAATTATTAGTATTCATTTACGTTATCCTTGAAGCCATTGTTAAGCTTTTGCCAATGAACTTGGATTTTTTCCGTTGTGTTAAGAATATACCTTAATTTTCCAAAAATTGCTGCTTACTACATTAAAACTTTTCATTTTCCTTTTTTATATAAATGATCTGAATAAAATTTACATGTATATATTCTTAAAACTAGGTTAACAAATGTGAAAGAATTTAAAAACAAAATTCGTGAATATCACTATTTGGGTATTTTATTAAGTGAAAAAAAGTGTACTACATTTTTATCATCATAACAACATATTCTTCTAAATTTAATACACATGTATGAAAAAGAAGTTCTTCTTGGTAATTATTAAACATTTTTATACAAAATACATGGGGAAAAAAGTTAAATTAATTAAACAATTCATTCACAAGTATCCGTATTTATCTGTTCCTAACTCTTAGTAATCTAATTTAAAAGTCAGATTTTATTCTATTGCAAAGAGATTTTCCCTGAACATTGAATAAAATAAATGCCCAACTTTCCTTAAATTTGCAGGTGTGTCAGGTAATGAATGTGTCAGGTAATGAATGAAATAACAAAAACAGCATAGTATCATTTTATTTAAATGATACTCTTCTTTAGCGTCTTCTTCATTAACAGCACAGATTATATGCTTAAGTAATAAAAATTACAGAAACTATACTTTAATATTGATAGTAAGCATAACATATTACGAAATATATAAAGAAAGGATTAATTATAAAATCATATCTTCTCAATATGAAACTAAACAAGCTTCTGAAATAGTAAGAGAACTGACCATCTACCTAAGCCGAGCAATTCTTTAACGTACTACTCAGTTAGTTTGTTTTATTTATTAACATCTAACTCTCTTTTAGAAGCAAACAATTCACACATACCAGACAAAATTTAATTGCGAAAAATTTGATAAGAAAAGCTTCTCATTGATTTATCACAACTACAAGTATCTCTACGAACAAGGCAATTCAGAACTGTTGTTTACGTTCCCTTCAACATTATTTTGCTAATGAACACATTCCGAAATGCACCTGCAATTTATTGCATACCTCAGTTTAATCAACCTAACACACACAGAAAGCAGTGGTGACGTGAAAGGTATTTGGCTGCAACAAACGACGTGACTGAAGGGAAAAAAAGAAAAAAGTTGGTTGGAAGGGAAGAAAGCAAAATGAAAGAGAATAGCGTAATTACTTTGGTTATGTAGGAAGAGGGAACGAGTCTTTATTCTCACCACAAAAACGATATGCTTCACTTGCATTTTCGTAACGCGAACATCTGCAACATCCCAATTAAGGATAATATTAAGGAGGAGATGACAAGCAAAAGGAGTTCCTCTCTAGGTTTTATTTCTTTGAAAACCCAGGTGAGATTTCTTTTGTTGAGACAAACTTGATCATCATTAAAATCCACCTTCCACTATACGCAGAAAGGACAAATATTTCATATTTAATTTGATAAGAACAAAATGATTAAATGTGATAAGTGCATTATTTTAAAACTAAAAATATATTTTCATCTTTTTTTTTTTTTTTTTTTTTTAAATATTCACCACAATCGTAACCATTTGGAGAAATGTCGATAAATTCTCAATGATTTTAATTTCGATCCACTCCCCCCCCCATCCGAAGGAGCAGTTGTTAACATTATAAAAATTTGAATATTCCAGAAAATATTCCGTAATTCTAAACATGACAATTTCAAATTAATCAGAAATGAATCTTTCGAGAAAAAAATTATTCCAATGTTAGAACTAAATCCTTTATTTAATTTTTAATTTGATCAAAGGAATTTTTATTTTGAATAACAAACGAAAATGCTTTTCAATCTTGCCTTCTTTGCCTATTCATTTTTCTCAAGCCTCGATAACAGCTTGGCATCATTTCATCATTATCTCAATTTCCAAAATCATATCTGGAGAACACTCAATAACATTCGATAACATTATAGGCAAAACACACTTGCTTTAGAGAAAAGATGGATTCTTACAGGAAATTAGCTTGCTTCATTATATGTGTAGAACACAAGGAAGACACACGAAGTGAGCACCAAATGAATTCACTCGATTACTAACATAGTAAGTTTGTACAGACATTAGGTTATTTTGGAAGCAGGAGAGATGAAAAATGAGCAAGGTCTTCGCCGGGAATCGAACCACGAAACTCTGGAATACGCGCCCAGCGTGTAGATCACTACACCACAAAGGTACGCTAAGAAGGCGGGAGAAATACCTTATAAGTTCTTCGTCATGTACTTCAAAAGTAAAAATATGAAATCAAATATCACCCACCTACTAAACAGAGTTTCTGAATACATTTAATGTCTTAGAATACGTGACAAAAGCAATGTTTTAAATACACGGATATAGAAGCAAAAATCCTTTTCATATAGTTAATGAATTTCAAGAGTATCAATCAAAGGAACCAATTATTGCAGACAGAAATACACACGACTATCGTAAGATAAGGTAAAAAACGTTGCAAATGTAATTAAGAATTAGAAAAAAAAAAAAAAATATCGATTTAAAAGATCTCCGAATTTTAAAAAACCCTCCACTTAGATTTTAACATTTACTTATGACACCAAAGCAAAGAATACAGTAATCTGATTAGCTGATACGCTCCTAAATCTTGGCAATTCTCATTCGCTGAAGTATTTACGCTCCAAAACTCTCAATCCGCCATCTAAAGCTCTCACATTTCTCTCTAAATTGCGACAATTTATCTCATTTAAGAGCTAAATGGAAGAAGGAAAGCGTGCCACCGAGCTGCTTAATGCCTCAGCTCAAATAAATATTTTATAAATGCAAGATGCGAAAAGATGCATTCTTTAGGTGTTCGTTTTCAGAAACGATTAAA